ACACTACTAATGTAGTGTTCTTTTTGCAATGCCTTTCTGTGACACTACACACAGCACTCATAATATGGTTAGAGTCCGATCACGTTCTGCATTCTATGGTAAAATTACTTGGCTTGTCTATATAGTTTAGTTTTAGGATTCATACATTAATATTCACTCTTTCAGGTATAATTTCGATGGGTTTGGATAAATTCATATTTTCATATATTTGATATTATATAATTATATGGAACAGTTTCAGCAGCGTCCAGATCTGTCCTTTACCTATACAAGCTCCCAGTCCTGAATTCTTGACAACTACTTATGCATTATCATCTGTATAACTTTGCCTTTTCAAAACATGTATATACATGGCCTCATTCAATATACAAGCCCTTCACCAGACTTTTTAAATTCACCAACATATGCTTAGATGCACTAATATTGTTGTATGACTTACTATCTTATTTATTGTTAATGCTGAAAACTATCTCATTATACTTATAACTAGATTGTATATCTATTCACCTGTACAAGTACCTCTTGGTCACTTCTGCTTGTATAGCAACTATACATGGAGCTACGATGAACATTTATGTGCAGTCATACATGTAAGTAAGCTTTCTGAATCCGATGGTTAACGTTATACTTAAATTTATTTAGAAATTGTTAGATTTTCTTTCAGTGTACGTGTTCTGTTTTGCATTTCAAGCATCAAAGGATGAGATTTCTTGTTCATTTGTCATAAACACAACATTTACTATTAGTAACATTTTAGATTTTGGTCTTTGTAATTGCTGTGTACTGCTATTTCATTTTTAGTTTGTATTTAGTTTGTAATAAGAAATGGTGCTGTTTACTTTTTTACAAACTTGTTTGCGGTCTACATATCTTCTTTGGCACAGTCTTGAAAGGGTTTTGGCCCAGACAGGACCCTGTAGCCAGGAAAGCCTCAACGGGAAGCAGGAATCCCCTATCTCCCCTGCCCCTAGGAAGTTACCTGTGATGCCATCTTCCCGCCCTTAGGAAATTTAAATATGGTGCCAAACCTAGGACCAATGGGCTACCTGTGCATCCCTAATGCCCGCCTTAGGTTCCACCCCAAACCGAGGCTATTTGCATGCCCCCAGGCCACGTGTCCCCAGAGAGATCTCCAGACACCAGCGGTGGGGGTGCCAGTCATCTCTCTCCATGTTCTCAGAATAAAGGCCACTTTCTATTTTATACTTCTCATCTTTTGGAAATATTTTTCATCTTTTGGAAATAATCCTAGCAAGTCTGTTCAGTCAAAAACTTTTGCCCATTTTCTCCCTGTTGAGTTCTAAAATTCTTTGTGTATATTGGATAAAATGCTTTATTAGTTATGTAACGTTTTTCCAATTCTGGCCCTGGGGATTGAAGCCAGAGACACGTTTTACTTGACAAATGTTCCTCCACTGAGCGACAACTCTAGTCTTTTCAGTTTTATTTTGAGACAAGGATTTGCTAACTTAGCAAGACTGAACTAAAACATTATAACTTCTTTCTTCAGCTTTAGAGTACCTGGCCATCAACCACTGTAAATACGACTCTGAAAATATTTTTTTCCTAATTCTGTTGCTTATTTGTTACATACTTGATATTCTGAAGAGTAGTATTCATTTATCATATTTTTAATGTTCATAGCTTCCCAATAAATTCTATCCAATGTTTAGAATTCACAAATGAAGGCTCAAAAGTTACACTGAAGTTTATAGAATGAGAAGAAATTCGCTGGTAGAAGAGCTCTGGAGTGTATTCTGAGCAGAACTGACAGTAGAAATAAAGGAACAAGGTGTGGGAGAGTCAATAGCAAATGAACTAAATGGTACTAAATGAAGACAGAAGAAAATCAAGGCACAGATTATACTACATATACAAGGAATAAATTCAGAATATACAAAATATAATTACATATTTTTCTACGTAAGTGCAGAACCTCTAAAAATGTTTTCAAAAGAGTGTGAAAAAGTATTCTAAAAAATTGAACAACTCTAAGATATGGCCAATTTTCAGCATTATAAACATTTACTTTTGTTAGAAAGGTCAATCTAGCAGTGAAGTTTTGGAAGCATACCAGTACAGCTATTCAGGAATAAAATAGTGGTATGTCTCTTGCACTTTAATCAAAATTAAATTTATTTAAGCAAAATTATATTTCAACTCACAAGCATAACATTAGTAAAGTTCAGGAAGAGGTTATCTGAGGTTAAGCCCAGTACATAATGAAAACAGAATGAGAGAAATGAATGTTTTATTTTATTTCCTGATGCAAATCATAAAAATCCTATTTTCAGTAACATATATAGAATCAGGAAGTGAAGAGTTGACGAGGATTATTCTAGTTATTTTTATGTTTTTCCATTTTGCCAAGTTTATTCTCGTTTGATACCAAGAAGGAAGAATAATGTTGATCATCTAATGTGTAAAGGAAATCATTCTGGTAATTGAGAAAGCTAATGTTCTACAATATTCTGCCAAGAGGCTTATTGTATGTTTGGTAATACAGTCAAAGACATACGGGTTGTGAAAGGGTTCAGAGGTCTTCTGGAATGAAAGCACTTCTTTTACTTATTTTGAAACCATGGGAGCTACATCACGGCACAATGCCTAACATCTTGATGATAGATGTGGGTTAGAACTTTTGCTTTCCAGTTCATTGTTTCCTCTGGCTTATCTGTGTTTCTCTAGGGATGATTATGAACCAATGATTTCATTTTAAAATATCTACATTATACATTACTGAAAGAAGTAATTCCATAGATTTCAATAAAAACTAATTTTTCCTCCTATTCTATGTATATTTTACATGTTTTATCTAATAATTATTTGCCAGATAATTTATATTTTCTGGTCTTCAACATTAAAATGCACAGAATTACAGTCAGTTAGCATCACAAAGCCACCACTTGACACTTAAACACTGCAAGGCAGGAAAGCAGAGCCATTAATGGTCAAGCAGGTAAGTCCTCTGGCTTTTAGTCTTCACTGAAAGGTGAAACTCTCATTGCTATAAAGGTGTTTTGTTGTTGTTGTTGTTGTTGTTGTTTTTATCAGTATCAGGGATCGAACTCACAACTGCCTGCTTACAAGGCAGGCGCTTATGCTGCTGAGCTAAATCCCCAGGCCCATAAAGGTGTTTTTTTCTAAATTTAATTGAGTGCTTCCTTTTGTGCCTTTCCAGAAAATCACCCATTTTCTTCCGCAATAGTTGGAATTTTTTATCTTCTCATAATCATTATGCTTATCATTTCATTGTGAGCACATACAACTATTTTATATTGTCCCATTTGTCTGCAACTTCTTTCATAAAAGTGTAAAATTTGTAATTTAAAAATGTTGAGACTATTTTTAATTTGAGAGAACAGAGTAGAAACAAAGAAGGGGTATTGTCCCTCATAGGTCATTATCTTTCTTCTCTTTTTCCTGTGTTTGATGAACTTTATTAGTGTCGGGGTTTAGCGGAACAGGCATGAACCACCCAAAGTAGCTTCAAAATTATTGCTCCAAGAGAGTGTGTTTGGTCATATAGTAACCATGCCACCCACAGAGTGATTGAATTGGTGTTTATACATTGTAACATTTAATGATGTGGAAATTAGTTTTGTCTCAAAAGATGAAGTGGATTTTTTTTCCTTTTTCTTGGGGAAAAATAGCACCTAATTAAAATATTAATGTCAATGTATTTTTCATCTTTGGTTTGAAATCAGTCCCTGAAAACATCAAAGTTTAACATTCTGTATAGTAATTGCAAATGTTTTTCTCATTCAAAATCTACTCATACGAGTATTTTAAAAGTAAGTTAAAAACTAAGAGCTTGGTGATATAGCACCTGCCTGATAAGCACAAAGTCTTGAGTTTAACTCCTGGTACAGAGAGAGAGAGAAAGAGAGACCCATAGAAAACATTGTCCTCTTCTGCCATTTGGCAATGTTTTGTCGAAATGTGATCTTCGGATATGAGAAATCATCTCTTGTTCTTTGAACTTATTAGAGATGTATCATTACTTTATTTAGTTCATTGGTAACTTGCCAAACTTTTATTTTATTTTATTTTATTTTGGTGTCAGGGATCAAACTTTTGACCTCACATTTGCCAGGCAAGTGCTTGTGCCTCTGAGGTAGATCCTAGCTGCTGCCAAGCTTTAACATTTTATACATCTTCAAATTTTTCTCATCAGTAATGTTTTCCAGGTTCTTTATGAATCCTTTCTGGAGCCAGGCTCCATGAATATCTGATCACACCACCCCCAGGAACGAAGTGCATCTTCATGAAATAAAGTTTGAGACTCATACAATGTGCAATGCTACTAGTTCAGGAGTGGATTAAACAGTAAAACTGCTTTCTAAAATATATTTATTTGACAGTATTTATTTACTTAATTTTGCTTCCTCCATGAACAGTGAATTTGGACAAGTAAAAAGCATCGTGGAAGCAGTATAATTTTTAGAACCAATGAAATGTTAATAAAGCATAATATTAAAATTTCTATAGCTTCACAAATTCTTGAGAGCACATGACTTTAATGTTCTTCTTTTATTCACCAAGAATGTTTTAAATAAATTTTTTTTTTTTGTTTTTTTGTTTTTTGGGTTTTTTTTTTTTCATGTTAACAGGATTCGTGAAAAAGTTATTTTCTGTCCTCAGTGCTAGGAAAAGCTGTGGTGTTTCTTTTCAACTTTTGTCTCTTTCTTTTTATAAATGGAAACTAACTTATATAACTAAACTTTTCACACACTTTGCTTTGGCTGCTAACCAGTTCAAAACTAAATTTTCAGCTTAAGTATAAAAAACTTCTGAACTCTATGCATTATTAAGTATATCCTTAACCCAAAATATTACTCTATTTAAATCATTTTTTACTTTGTTCTTCATTTATTTGTTTCACTCTAGCTTTATATCATATGTTAATACTACAGAAACTCTCTTGGAAGGAGACAAGAAATAAGCAAATTAATAGACTAAAATCCCATCATGCAAATAGTATAAATTACAGCACTAACCTTACAGAAAGTGATAAACACAGTGTTTTGTAGAGATGAGAGCTCTCTTAAGATTTTCCCTTTCTCTTTCTGTTGCTTTAGCCACTGAGGCCAAAAGGAGAGTCTCATTTCTTCATTCATTTAAACATCTCAAAAGCAATTATGCAATTCTGATGCAAACAGAATTTCAATTGCCCTTGGAACTTTAAGAAATTTGGCTGAAATATTCGTTTGTAAGATCTGGGCATATTTGCTGCCTTTTACAAGCTGTGCCCCGACTCCTTGTGGTCACCCCTATTCTAGGCCAGCAGGGACTTGCTAAATAACATTGTTCCCCCGCCAACTGGGAGGCTGCACTGGAGAGTGAGGAAAGAAAGCAAAGGATCCTGGCAGTGGTGAAAGGCCCGTAACAGGGAGCTGTCTGTAACAAAAGACAAATGAGATGAACTGGAGGGAACAAAAGACATTCACAAAATAAGCAATGGCCTTGATTACTGGAAGACAATGTGACTCCATTGCAACCAACAAGGAAAAGTGAAGTTCGTGTATTAATATGACTACTATTAAAGTTTGAGGACATTAGCAAATAAGATTTTTGTTGGTTTTGTTGGTTTTTTGGGGGATTTGTTTGGTTTGGTTTAGGTTTTTGCACTTGAGTTCTTTGCTACTTCTTAAACAGGAATTGAGCTTACAGAAATTTCAAAAACTCACCTTGATTTTATTGATAAGGGTAATATTAACAATTAGGTTCTTATGACAACTACTACCATCAGTTTTTATAGACCTTGAGGCTAGACGTTAAAATATCTCACTGAGGGCTGAATTTCAATATTAGCTCACATCTGCTTACTCGGTATTGATGAAAACATCGCAGTGATTTAGTGTGAAGAGAGGAAGTAAAAGTCAAAGTACTTCAAGCTTACAATATAGATCAGCATAGCTGGGTCAGAAATGAACTTTTAACCTCCATTTCAGGAGTCATCGCGAAATGAGTAAGTGGATAAGCACGAGCACAGGTCAGGATAATGTTTACACCAGAGGGATAGGAGCACAGAGGGAGCACTGACTGAGGTACATAAGGGAGAAACATCACTACGTGGGGAAATGCAGAGAGAGGCATGGAGAAATTCAGTGAAGCATGATGCACTGATGCTGGGGATGCAATGGAAAATCCAAATGCGTAGTTAAGAGTATTTCACGATTGAAACACCCTAAGTTGTAAATTGATATCTCGGTGTCATCCTCACCTCTATCATTGCTGAGAGCAACCCAGAAATCACCAACCTGTGGTCTTCAATATACAAATGTGCCAGTTGGAGTCAGTGATTTTACTGTACTGTACTTAGCAAGTGGATACCAGAGAATACAGACTACTGACATTTTTACTAACTAGCCTTTGATTAAACTGCTAGGGGTCTGAATCAATATTTGTAAACCTCACTTTTTACTTGTGGATTATTCAAGGAAACGAACTTGTTTACACCCAGTAAATATCTTTGGTTAATAACTCACGTTAAGTAGAATAAAATGACTGCTAATAATCTTTTTTTTCTTCATCCTTGCTATTGCCTTAACACAGACACCCTCAATAAAGCATTGCTGTGCTGGTGATCTACATGCAGTCCAACAACTTCCCATCACCAGTGATCTTTGTAACACAGAACCTGAGCTCTACTCTCTCCCATGAAAATTAAGACTAACATCGAGTCAGGACTGTGCCATTCATGTTCTTTTTGCTGTACAGTACTGGTGCCAAGCATATGGCTTGGCATATGGTAAGCATCCCATAAATTCTTTACATGATACCTATCAAACAAAATAGGTGTGTTACCTGAATATTTATTTTTGGGAGAGAAATCAAGAAGAAAATATAATGTGCTACAAGGCAACATTTTAAAATAAGTGAATTGGTTAAGAACACTGTTACACAAATAAACCTTTTCAAATATGATGGCATCCTCCGGCCTGATGGTGCATGCCTGTAATCCCAGGATTTGGGAGGATGAGACAGGGGGATCACTTCAATTTCAAGGTCAGCCTGGGCTACAAAGTGAGTTCAAGTCCAGTCTGAACTGCATATTGAGACCCTGTTTTAAAAAAAAAAAAAAGACAAGAAAATCAAAGCAATACAAAAAATGTGATGGCATTTGAGAAAAGAAATGAGAGACATGAAGATTAATCATGTAAATATTATGCAGAAAGTGTTACATATAGCAACTTTGAAAAAGGTCTCTATATTTCATCTAAATTGTACCACAGATTATTCTCTGACACTGTAACTGTGCTAACTTTTTCTCTGGATGAAGCATAAAATCAATGGAGAATTTTGAGCAAAGGACAGATGTAGTCTAGCTTTTTTATAGAATAAATCTGGCTGTTGAAATGAGGAACAATACAGATGACAGATTGGGACATATTTTTAAGAATTTATCTTAAGGAATTTCTCAAATGTGACAAGTACAAAAAGATAGCAATCATGTAAAGTTGTACATCATGTTCATTGTATTTCTGCTTATAACTAAATTTGGGGGGAAAACAACAGACACATATATGCGATTGAATAGAAGCCAGTCAATAAAATAAGATAAAGATTTTTATGTGTTGTCATGAAAATATGTTACAATTTAATGTAACTAAGCAAGGCAATATATATTTTTAAATGCTAGAAACATGATCTTTCAGAAAAAAATCATTAATATTCTATAAATTAAATCACTGAAGTAGTTTTGCTGAGGCAGTAATATTCAATACTATCTTTCACTTTTTCTTTTCAATCTTTCCATATTATATAAGTGTTATCACATTTCTGATATCTTTCAATTATCTTGCCATATGAACAATGTTCATCAAAAATAAATCAAATCCCCAAAATATAACAGGACTTTTGATAAGCACCTAAGTAGCATAATGGAGTAGATGTGTTCTCCATTCTCAAAGTGCTTACACCTGAATGATCCTCTTAATAGCAATGATTACCAGCAAGTGAAATGCTGCAAGATAAGACTGAATTATTTTACTTTCCTCTATTTTCAATTTCTAGACTGTCATTGTTGGCTCAAATATTGTTCCAGCAATTACTAAACTCTTTTCATAGTACTTCAGTATCAAATCATGTAGTTGTTCTTTTCTTTCAGTAAGTTGTATTGAAGATCATTTTGTATAGTCCTTCAAAAGTCACCATAACCGTATCCAGGACAACTGTATGATTTATCCCCTCACCTGACTTTAACTGTTGTTATCGTTATCTTATATAGAGTAGTTGGTGATTTCCCTTTGCTCAGTACATCCTGGTATTTGTTAATTGCAGGTCTACAGTCTTCTCAGTGAAATATTTCTGTTCAATTTTATTGATAAATATTTATTTCCAGAATTTTGTAGGCACTGGCTGAGTAGTGTTCTGGAATCATTTTCATTTATGCTTTTAGACTCTCCACCTCCTGATTTTGTTTTGTGAACTTCTGAAAAACATTATGAATATATTAAACCTAACTGTTTCACTACTCTGCAACCACAATTATGCTGCATTCTCCATTTAAGTTACTGTAATTGTTTCTGGTCTCCAATCTCATTACCTTCTTACCCTTCTCAACCTCAGAATGTATGCACCATCTGTTAACTCCTAAGTACTTTCCAACAGAATCCAGAACAACAGAGCAATATTGTCCTTCCGCACTCTCAGCAATTACATTTGTCAATTTAGAAAACTTCTCTACATTTTAAGTCCCATGGGATCACCATGAATTTATAGAGCCAAGGGCTAGTAAGGTTACCCCTGTCCTGGTTTGTATTTCTCACTTATGAAATGCAATTTAGTGTGTTGTTTTCCCACATTTTTAAAATACAGTCTTCTTAATGACCTGCTTTCCTTGCTTTGTTTCTTAGGTCGCTTTGGAATAAGTTAGATGCAAGCCAAGGCATCAGCTGCTTTAGAGAAATTAAATCATTAGTTCCATTGTTTTATTTTCATTTCATGTTTTTACCCAATTACGTATCTTGTGAAGTTAACTTCACCTTATTAATGCATTCAATATAATCTGTGCTAATGATACAAAATTTTTCTTATCTCCTGCAAATCTCCTGATCCTTGGCAGTAGAAAAATCACACCTCCCAGTTTTTGCCCTGTAGGCACAACTTGCCGCCTCCAAAGACTGTTGAACAGATTCGTTGGATGTCTTATCTTTTTCCCTTGCTTCTCTTTTTAGAAATCAAGAATATAATTCAGTCAGGCTTGGTGCTTTATCAACTTTTAATACCCCTAATTGCCTAATTATCTGCTCTGGTGCAATTATGAATCCTCTATACTGAGCCTGTTTTCAGGAGCTTGCACACTGTTAAGTTGCCTGATCATACATATAGTAGTTGGCTTCTAAAACAAGGCAGAGAATTTACCATGGGTGAAAGCCACTGATGCTGTGTTGTTCTTTGCTTTTGGAAAAAGTATATGACTTGTCACATTGAGAAAATGGTAGATTTAATAAAAGTTTTTGTCATAGATTAGTATTTAATTTAAAAAATTTCCTTTACATTTTGATTCTATGAATTTATTTGTGATACAGAAAACTGTCTCTTAACTTTCTCATAAAATTCTGTGAATCACTCATCCATGGAGAAATTGCTATGAATTATCATGAATACTTATGAAATAGATAATACAAATATATTACTTAATAAAACCAGTTTTACCATATCTAATCCAATGAATAATGATTGCATTTTCCTTTTTTAACCGTACCTAAATTTCATTTAAATCATTTAAATTTTGATTAAAGCAGCTGAGTTAAATGTATGTCTAAATTGCCTTTTCAAATCCCAATAAACCATTTCTCACAAATTGCCTTATTGTGATAATTGGTGCTGACATTATGCACCAGGATCACTAGCCATGGTCTACATGGAAAGTGTGTTCTGGTTAGAGCTATGAAAACAACTTTTTTTGTTTCCGAAGTATAGCTGCCTAAAATAAAGATTTAGGCACTCATAACTATTATGATGTTTCACATGTTATAGGTCTTAATTATGAAGACATTTTCAATCAGGAATCATTCTTTGGGTAATGAAAGCTCTCCAAACTAAATTAAATAAAGACGCTATTCGCTAATCCTTAAAAACATTTTGAATAACATTAAATTCAGCACATTCTTAACATATAGCATCTGTTTATTAGTATGGTTTTGGACAATTGCACGACAGCAAATAGAAAAACTGGAAGGAAGGGAGAATCACACATTTTTTCCCCACTGCAAATCCTATATATTGTAAGTAGCAGAATTTGATTGTAATTCAAGATAGCAACCTCCTCTTTTATCTTATAATAACTTTTTAAAACGTTTTATTTTATTAATTAGTTTAATTCAGTTTTATACATTATACTTAGAAACTCTCAATAAGATGAATGCATAATCAGATCGAATGTTATACTGGACCCGAATTGATACACAACTACTTTAATGGCATAAAATTCTAACCATGTAGCATAGTTTTATCCTTTGACCCCCCCCCAGTTTCTTTGGGGAGTATATTAATTTCATTTTCCTCAAAGCAAATTGCCACAGTGTTTTTAAAAGCAACAATTTCTAATCTCAGTTTTTCTGGATCAGTAGTCTGGATTTAGCTGAATCCTCTGTTCAGCATCTTTCAGCTAAAGTGCCTAATTTGGATTCTTGTGGCCATAAACTAGGATCCACAGCACTGAAAGGCCTCCCTCAGAGTTCCACCACGTCACTTTTCCATAAGCAATTCATCTCACACTTGTTCACTTCTTCAAGGCCACAAGAAGAACATCTATGCTGATTTAAATCTCTTCCTTCAGAGAAAGTCTGGGTCTTCTTTTAAAGGACTCA